GGGGTGTTTTCTCATCTTCTGTTTTTTTGGAGGAGCTTGTGAAGGGTAGTTGCTATTCCTTTCTTAAATGTTTAAAAGAATTCACCAGTAAAGGCATCTGGTCCTGGAATTTTCTTTGTGGAAAAATTTTGTATTACTACTTTAATATCTTTAGTTATTACAACTGTACTAAGATTGTCTATTTCTCCTTGAGTCATTTTCAAAAGTTTGTGTCTTCCTAAGAATTTGACCATTTTCTTCAAGGTTGCAGTCATTTTTAGGATTGCCTTACAATGTTTTCATGTCTATGAGGTCAGTTGCAATATTTACTCTTTTCTTTCCTGATTTTAGTAGTTGACTCTTCCCTCTATTCCTGGTCATTCTTGCTAAAAGTTTGTCAAATTTATCCAACGGTTTTCCCATTTAACTTATTTGGTCGTGCTCCCAGCTATAATGTGGATGTACTATTTCCTTCCAGCCATTACCTATCAATTTTCTCACTAGACAACGATGAGGTCTTTCTGGTATGAGTCATGTCTATTTCCTTTGTCAATTTATATAATTTAGACCTGTCATTGCCATATGAAGATTTTTCCAAAGAATAATCTCTTTGTGAAATGTTTATTCCGATGAATATCTATTGTTAAAAAATTGGCAATTAGAAAAGGAATGAGTAAATTTACTCTTATGACTTTGTTCTTGAAATACTTTTATATTATCCCCCCAAATCAAAATCCTCTTGCTCATAATGGATGATTTACACTAACTCTGTGTCTTGAGAGAATTTTTTTCTAACTTTCTTTGGTAATTTCTTCAGATGTACATTCTGTGGTAGAAGATAGAAGTGCTATGTCCATATTCTACAATTTAAAACTGAAATGGTTTGAAAGGTCATTAAACCCAGCTCCTTCCTGTGGTAGATGATAATGTAGACTTCATTATTCCTCCACAGCTGCATTTCCCTTAAAGTATTAGTAAAATATAGAAAGTTAATTCTAATTTATGAGCATTAAAGTACACAGCTGCATTTGTACACCCTGGTTTGACCACCATCAACTTGCACTTGAATGGCTATTACAGCCCACTGGTATCACTGAATATTTCACTCTAGATACATTCACAACTCATTCCCTCTCCACCATTGGCTCTGCATTCCCAATGGGACCTCTCTTGAGCACACCCCCAAGTTAGAATTGGCCACGCTGTCCAAACTTCTCTAAATTTTCCATTGTTATAGTATCATGTTCCAATATACTATATAAAGTATGCATTGATTATGTTCATCTACCTGCATGAATGCAAGCTCCATAAAAACAAGTGGTTTTCTGATTCATTTGTTGAGATTTTTTGTGCCTGTTAACTGGTATACCTCTGGAACTTATGGAAGTACCTAGCACACACAATATGCTCCCAATAAATATTTGTTGAGTTAATGGTTGCATTAAACAATGAAGCCACCCTGGCAATGTAAAGCCATGCCTCAGGCTTTGACAAACTCACATTGTTACCATGTTTGCTATCTTTCAGCTATAGAAGGTCTTTCAAACTCATGTGATTATCATTTATTTGTTATGATCTGTGCTTTCTGCTGCTTTGAGATAAAACATGTTTGGAGGTCTATATAAACCATTTTAGACAATTTATACACTGAGAAAAATTGGCTCATTCATATTATGAAATGTATATACCTCTTTTATGTCAAGAGAAGTAGGAAGTGATGACGATACTAGTTTCCTGGGCTTCAGTTACAAGGTGCTATGCAGTGTGGAGCTTGTACCCAAAATTTATTGTCTCCCAGTTACGGAAATCAGAGTGTCAATGGGGCCTTGTTCTCTTTGAAACCTGCAGGAAAGATTCCTTCTTGGCCTCTGATTAACTTTGGGCGGTGGCCATCAGTCCTCCTTGTTCCTTGGCTGGTAGCTGCCTCACTCTACTCTCTGCTTCTCTTGCCCCATTGTCCTGCTCAGTGTGTGACTGTGCCCTCTGGTAGGGCTTTCCTTTTCATACATGGACACCCTTCATATTTCGATAGGACCCACCCTGACGATATCACCTTCACTCGATTACATCTATTTCCAAACAAGATCATGTTCACAGGCACTAGGGGATAGGACTTCACCAGAGCTCAACCCACAATAGTGTCATTTTAATCCAGCGGGTATTTATGGATGGCAAAACACACTTTGATTGTGGGGAGAGCCTTCCTGATGTTCCGTTAGTCAATGTGGCCCAAGGCAGGACCAGTATTGCTCAGCTTCAGGGTGTCCCCAGCTGGAACTGACGTCACTGCTATAATTGTTTAATACATCCTGCTTTCTTCCTTCTACCATACTCTCCTCTGACTTCTCAGGGGGCCAATACCTTGACTCCTCTCTTTTCTCCTGGTCTGTCACCTCTCACCTGGTTTCAATTTCTTGTCCACTCAGGTAGGGTGGTATGTTACGTTTCCTTTCTTGCTGGAATCTTACCTTCCTGTTCTCATTGTTTGATGCGTCCTGCCTGAACACCCTCAACCTGGGTAGCTGTAATCATTTAATCTCTCTCTCTTGGGTATTCAGCATGTTTGGGGACTTCACTTACCTTGTAAACTTGTACCAATGCAGAACGGCACTCTGATATTAGATGGCCCTCAGACTACTACTTAAGGATCCCTGTAATTCTCTCCTGATTAACCTCCTGACTCATCTTCAATAGTAGCCCTAGATCCAAATACCTTTGCTCCTGCCTGCTTCTCACTTTCCTTTTCCCTTCATAATTGTTTTTGAACAATTTACCATGTGCCAGGAACTTGACTATGAGTTAAAGATAGAACAGAAAATAAGACCAATTACTACTTTGTAGGTCTTGCCAAGGAAGTTTATTTAATGCATTTTTATGTTTAATAAGCGGATGAAAATAGGTGTTTGTGGGACAGAAGAAGTGCATCAAGCTGTAGAAGCTTATAGGGTCCTTTTGGGCCAAAGAAAGTTTCCTACAGGGGACATTTCAAAGCCCAGAGGTTAAGAGCTGAGGTCGACCAGGAACATTTGAAGCAGAGGCAAAATCACGTAGAAAATCTTAGGGTTCAGAGTGCTTGGGAGGTGTGGGGCATTACAAATTCAGTCTGTGGAGCTGGCGCAGGGGTAGGGAGGGTGCCAGAAGGGAAGGGCTGAGTGAGGGTGGGGATAGGTGAAGGAGGAGTCATGAACAAGAGGCAGATCCAGCTTCATTCTCGGTAGACAACGTTATCTCTTATCCCAGAAGAACAACCGCACCATGAGGAGTGAGTGATTTCTCCCCAGTTCGCCTTCACTACTTTCCGAGCAAAAGCACGAAAGTACCCAACAACTTCCACATATTCACATCTGATCTTCCCATCTTTTCTCCTGTCTCCAAGAAAGACACATCCTTCCCTCCCCCACTGCCCACATTGCTTAGCTTTTGATCTCGGGTCCAGGTCAATTCACCAACTTGTCTGGATGGCCAGTCCTTAGGTGTTGAGCTAATTATATATTTTAAGACAATTTGTGTTGGAGATCTAAACACCTCTACAGTTTGAGTAGAGCTTTTTTTGTTTTGTCTTCATGACACCACTTCAGGCAATAATTAGTTTGTACTTGCTTGAGTTGCCTATTTCTGGCGGAAAAGGTAGAGAGACTGTGTCCACAGGAAAGTCAGAAGAAGAGGCTACAGGGGCCCCTCCCCCAGGCTCAGGTGTGCGGGGCGTGGAAGACTGAGGCCTGGGGTAGAAAGGTAGGACCCACCAGTATATTTACACAGCATTAAAAACATGATTACTCATGAAGAAATATTCCTATGTAGAGTATTTTTAGTTACTTTCTTATATATAGTCTTTACTACTAACATAAAAATATAATATAAATGTGTATACACACGAGCACACACAGACACACACAGACAAACTCTTTTTAGGCCCCTTCTTCTCACCCTTCCTGGCTTGTTTGCCTCCTCCTGCTCCTGAGAGCAGCGTCAGACTTCCGTGGACTGACTTGACTCTGCATCTTTTATTCATCAGGCGCAGCCTTGCTCTGCCCCAGTTTTCCTCCATGGTTCCACAAGGAGCTGCAGCCAGGAGGGATCAAACGTTCTCTATTACTAAGACAAAATCAACCAGGAAATATTTTAAAATGACCACATTTTGAAGAAGTGCTCATTTGGTGAATTGGTCATGGCTGTAAATTTAATTTTTGGAAAAACTCGCAGTTCCTGAATTAGCATTCTCTGTTACACCACCTCTTATTTTGGGTCCCCATGATCTAAACTCTGGCTAGAATTTTACTATTTTCAAGTTTTTCTATTTACAATATAACAACAACAACAACTCATAGAAGTGGTAGTTGTCTTACATTTTTCCATTCCTAGTCTCTTGGACTGATTTGTTAATAAACCCTAAATAAATATTTGCTAAATGAATTAATAAAGTGGTATTGTAGTTTAAGGTTGATAGCTACCTGCCCCTTGAAAGGTCACCTAATTTAATGCAGATTGGGCTTGGAACCTGGCTTGTCTCGCGAGACTTCTTACAAGGTGATGGGATTTTGAGGCTGTGCCAGGAGGCCTCCGACATGTGAATGATTCAAACTCATGTGTGGGAGAGTGGGGAGTCTTCCTCTCAGCAACACAAATGCTCTGGAAATTGCATTGAAAACATGCAATTGCAAATTGGCAATTAATTTAGGGCTGACGAGATGATAGATTTATAGGTTTATAAACTAGAGAGAAGTCTGACTTGAGGAGGGGACATCTGGAGAGAGATCATGAGTCGGTCAGTAGGTACTGGCTGGACTATTGACTTTCACATAAGTCTTACAATGTCTGTGGAGATAAGTATGAATGAATATTGATGTTATTCATGTGGAAGTAGCAGAATATACACGTTGGTCTCTAAGAAGTTGAAGAGGCTGTGATATATACATGATTAAATGTTTTATTGCTTTAAAGGAATGTCACTTGAATATTTGTTCGCCATCACTTGGTAATCTGAGACTTCTCAAATTATATACATATATGTATTTTTGCAGGCTTAGAGCAGTTTGTTGGAAGAATGCAAGATTTTCGATTATACCAAGTGGCACTTACAAACAGGTAAGCAGATGTGGTATTGTAAAGCTCGAGAAATGTAAGGATAAATGGTGAGTTTACTTAAATAAGACTAGCATGAAGATGATACCATTTTTCATCTCTGCAGCATTTGGCAAACATCACCTAATTAATGCTTCCAGGGTTTGCTCTGGCTTAGTCTGTGGGTACTGTTCACTAGTGGTACTCTGTTGGGTAACTCCTGGTATTATGAAACTGTTCAAATTTTTTACAAAGGATTTCTTGTATGAAAACTCTGTTTTTGAAGTTTTATTTTGGATTTGGGGTGCATTTGTTTAAATATTCTATATGAAGTAGTGTCTGATACTTAAAGTACTATATCTCTACCTTTTAAAATTGCTTTGTTGAATTTATAAGTACTAGAGAATGTAGAAAAATGAAAATGATTAATTATTTTGATATATGTGAAAGTCTCAAGAAATTGGTATATTAGAATTAGAGACACAAAATGAATAACTTGAAGTTTTGTTATATATTTCTTTTCCCAGTGAACAGATACTTTTTTAGACTGGACTAGCTTTAATGAAGTATTTCCTCATCTTGAGAATGGTGGGGACTTTCTTAGGAATTCTTAAAGGCCAATAGATTTCCTTTCCATTCAGAAAAGATTCCAGTGACATCTTGCTTACCATGCTCTCAAGTTTCTTTTCTGAATTATTTGATGCAATGGGTATGTTATTATATGCGTGAGTTGGTCTTATTTACTTCTATTAAAGAGAAGAAGAGAAGAATGTTCATTTTTATTTCTTTAAGGAGGATGTAGATTAGTCTGGTGACTTTCCAGATAGCAGAACAAACTCTTATATATTTGAGAAGCATTTCTCTTGAGGCATTATGCTCAGTAGTATGTACATTAGCCATATAAACTTTTGTATTGGTTTATATAATCAAGAGATGCCTGAATAAAGGGTGCTATAACGCTGGACAACATTATTGGGGAGGTTTACTGCCAACAGCCTCACTCCTTTGTAGTTCTCTTCATATAAATTCTGGACAGCAGTGGTGCAGGGCTCTGGGGGGAATATAGTTCATCACGGGGAGCAAGGATTTCACCGAATAGTCACTTCTGGTCCCATTTAAAGCCTGATCCCATTGCAAAGTACCAGTGAGATTTATAGAAGGTGTTACTTGGTGTGATTTAGTAAATCGACTAGCTGCCCGACTCTGGCATTTCCCCCACTGGGGTTCTGTGAGAAGGGGTCTCTAGTTGGGCCTGGGTGTTCAGTGTTGGCCTACCTGAAATGTCTGGAAAGGCGTTATGTGGAAGAATGCCCGTAAATAGAACGACTAATTCTGATTGAGAGCGGGTATATTGCTCTTAATGGAAAAATGGAATCTATCTGCCTGGAATTGGCATTCTCCTTCGACTGCTGGCAGCTCCGCCATCCGATCTGAGCCACGGAAGCATTTTCGGGTGCCAGCGTCTGTCCTGATGAGTCACAGGAAACCGCTGACAAATGGGCCTGGCCTCGGGCCCTTCACCCAGAACAGCAGCAGATAGACTCATCCTTGTTTCTCACTTCCTGTGGGTGCACTGGAGTCCCCATCCATAACGCATTCTTTTCTTTTCTTTTTAAATTTATTTTAGAGAGAGGGAGGGAGGGAAGAAGGGAGACAGGGAAAAAAAATCAGTGTGTGCTTGCCTCTCACACAGGCCCTACTGGGAGCCTGACCCACAACCTAGGCATATGCCCTAAGAATCGAACCAGTGACCCTTTGACTGGCAGGCTGGCGCTCAATCCACTGAGCCACACTAGCTGGGGCTATAGCTCATTATTTTTAATATACTACTGTGCCCTCACAGTGGTCAGTTTAACAACCTGAGTGAACATTGCCTTTCTTTTTACTATAAATAGTCACCATAAAACATTCCAGTATGTAAATATCTTGCTAATCAGATAAGGGATTCTGTACGCTTCTTGATATAAAAATGCAAAAACTGAAGAATTTGATGTTTTTTTTTAAATGAGTATGTTTTATTTTATGAGAACAGGTATGTATGTTGATGGGGAAGGAATGAATTTGGTTTTAGGTTCTGTGTAAAAAATTATGAAAGCTAAAGCGCCACTCATGAACACACTGAAATAGCATTATGCATCTGTGACAATTCATGGAACTTCTAGCACTGCGGGGCCCCTTGTCCTTACCGCCTGCCTCTTGACACCCGCAGAGAGATCCTGGCCGTCTTCTCCGGAGACCTGCCCCGACTGCACGTGCAGCCGCACTGCCGGTGTCCCGGCAGCCACCCCCGGGTGCATCCCCTGCAGCAGCGGTACTGCATTCCCAATGGTGTGGAGGACACCACCAGCAACAAGGTGTTACGGCTGAGTCCTGACGCCCACCCCCTTTCTTTTGTGAATGACAATGATGTTGGTACTTCGTGGGTGTCACGTGTGTTTACCAACATCTCCCAGCTTGATCAAGGAGTGACCGTGTCTGTAGATTTGGAAAATGGACAGTATCAGGTAACTCGAGTCATTTTGAATCATTGCGCATTCGTTTCCTGTGGGTATTGCAACAAAGGACCCCAGTTACAATGGCTTCAAACAGCAGAGCTGTGTTCTACCTCAGCTCTGAACATCAGCAGGGTGCAATCCAGGGTGTTGGCAGGGGTGGCCCAGCTCACTCCCGAGGCTGGAGGGAGAGGACTTCCTGCCTCTCCCAGCTTCTGGTGGCCCCCTGGTTTATGGCAGCTTCGCTCCAGGCTCCGACTCCATAGTCCAAGGCCACCTTCCTTGTCTGTGTCTATTCTTCCTTTTGCTCTTGTGAGGACCATCCTGTATCTAGAAGGATCTCATGTTGAGATTCTTAATTACATCTTCAAAGACTCTTATTTCCAAATGAAGTCACATTCATAGGTACCAGGACTTAGAAGTCTATTTGGGGACACAATTCAACCTACTGCAAAGTAAAAACTGAATTAGGCCATTGAAAATTACCTCACTAAAGTAGTATATTATAATGTGTGAAATAAAAATATCTAAAAAGTATTCAGGGGCTATTTTCTTAGAGATTTGTATCAAAATTATATGTGAAACATCCCTTGTAATATTAAATAACAAATTAGCAAAAACAGGTACTTATTTTAAATAACTACTTAAGAGGAACACATAATAATAATTTCATGGAAGTAATGTTCTATTTTCATGTCTTAATATCAAACTTAATATTGATTTCCACTTTAATTTATAAAATATTCAAAAGAGGCACAGCTATGTAATGATAGACTGATAGTTGATTTTGCTATAGGACTGTGGCATTTCTGGGTGTCTGGTACATACTCAAATCCCACAGTTTCATGTTGGATTTGTACTGACAGGTCAGACTTAAAACTTCAATGACAAAAATTAACTTATTTATTTTCAGGTGTTTTATATCATCATTCAGTTCTTCAGTCCCCTGCCAACAGCAATAAGGATTCAGAGAAAGAAAGAAGACAGCCAAGACTGGGAAGACTGGCAATACTTCGCGAGAAATTGCAGTGTTTTTGGAATGGCAAACAACGAAGAGTTGGAAAATTCGGATTCTGTGAACTGTCTTCAGCTTCCCAGGTAGGAATGTTTCTGGAACAATTACCTTTGAAGGCATTTAGGAGTTAATTTTAATTGGCTATGGGATAGTCATAACCCACAGGTAAACTAACTCACCAGGCTGCTTAGAGACTTCCCTTCGCCACCAACTCTCTTAAGGTGGGTTACTCCCTAAATTCAGTTTTAAATTATGTTTAAAGTTCCTGCAAGGACTTTAGAGTATCTCTTGCTTCTAGTCTCATCTGGGCTTTATAATGTGACTTGTAGATTGCTTAGCATGTTACCTACATTAATGGGATTTTATTATGTCCTCAAGAAAATGTTTCACTGTATTTTTTTGTGATGATCCTATATTGTTTGTGTATGAAATACATGGACTGTTTTTTTTTTCAGAGTGACAGATTTAAACTGTTATGAATATAGCATTCTGGTTTGTTTTGTCAAAAATAGCCTCTAATGATTTCAAATTTCTTTCATCAACAGTTTTACTCCATACTCCCGTGGTAACATCACATTTAGTGTTCTAGTGCCTGGACCAAATCCCCGTCCTGGATACAATGATTTCTATAATACCCCATCTCTTCAGGAGTTCGTGAAAGCCACACAAGTAAGGCTTCATTTCCATGGACAGCACCATACAACTCAGCCTCCTGCAAGCCTCAAACACCGATACTATGCGGTCAGTGAAATCACCATCACTGGGAGGTAGGACTTCAATTACATTGTGCTTTTCACTATGAATTTTGTTTCCAAGATTCTCATCATACTTACTGATCACTGTATTAGCTAAGATTTTAGAGCAAAGCAGATTCCAAGCTTCAGGTATTGAAATGATTTCCTACTCTAAGATGTTGGAGGGAGATTTGTGAATCTTTTCTCTTTTATAAGTTCACATCATAGAATCAATTCATAAAGCTATTGGGTTAGAAGTTAAGATAACGTGGATCTGACTTTAAAAAGTAATTGACTTAGAAAAAATAATTTATCAAATATTTTGATTGGCTTGTTCTGAAATGTAATTGTCCAGTTTTCTTGAAATCGAAGAGAAGGAACTTGAGTTGTAGTTACAATGGTAGCACCTACCAGCTAGGCTGTATGTACTGGGCGTGGTCTCCCTGAGTTCACAATTTTATAAAGAGTATTTGTTATCCTTTAAAGGAACAGTCTGTTGTGCCTTGAGTAATTAATAAGCATCTGACCATAGTAGAAAAGTAGCCTTGCCATATTTAACAAATGGAGAGCGGGAGACCCCTCAGGCAGCATCCTGTCCAGTGTGGAAGTGGTACCCATGTGGGCTGTACTTAGAATCAGGTTTTGCTAGAAGACTGGTGTGTCCTGCAGAGAAAGTACATCCTTTAAACCAGACCAGTGTACCGATCTGTAAGCCTTGTTTGTTCAGTATGAGCAGGGTGCAAAAATGATACTATTAAATAATCACCATCTAATTTGGGGGAAAAAAACCCAAATAATTCAAGTTTGTTAGCTTCAACCCGTGGTTTATTCTAAACTTTAGTATCTTAAATTATAAGTTTTGAATAGTTTTATCAAATGTCTGCTCTCTTGGCAAGTTTGCCGCACGGTTGAGACAGGTGTATACAACCCAGGTAGGCAAGAAAGTTCCCTTTGCCACTCATGTGGTTTAGATATGGATGACACTGCCATTGGTACTTTAGGAATAATTAGAAACTTCCAATGAGGAGCCACGTGATTAAAAAGACGCTGGTTTTTGTGTGTACGTCCTCACCTCCCTGGGTGAGTTCACGCAGTGTGTATGTACCCAGGTCCTCACATGTATTCGTAGTTGAGCTGCCATTTCCCAGGAGCTCTCTGACAGGTGCTCACGTTTGCAGATGTCAGTGCCACGGCCACGCCTCCTACTGCGACACCACCAGCCGGCCCTACCGCTGCCTCTGTTCTCGGGACAGCTTCACCGAGGGCCTTCACGTGAGTCCCCTGTTTTACACACGGGGGGTCTCGGAAAGGGGGAGGGGAGGTGAAAATGGTGACTGTGAAGTCTTTAAACTTACGTTTGGTCTGACTTCTGGGTGTAAATAAAAATAAATTGATAAGACCCTAAAACATCTATGAGTTCAGAAAAAAAGGTATAGAAAAATAAAAGCCATCAATCATGTTGATCATTTAAAAAAGAAACTCAGAGCAATAACTGTTAAAACCAATCCCAGAGTTTTTGTTTGTTTGTTTCCTCAGCACTATCATAGTTTATAAAACAATTAGTATTTTAAGGTGTTTGGAGAGATGGCACCCAAAATGGTCTGATTCCTACATCTAAAGGATATGTATGCAAAGTTTTCTATATAAAAACGTCTCTAGATGCAGACAGATCTTTGTGTATTTGCATGAATCACATTTAATTCATTGTTGTTGTAAGTAATTGATTGGGATATCTAGGGTAAAATGCCTTAGGAATTCTGTTAGGAATTAGTTTGTCTCTGATGGTCAAATGAAGTTTTATAGTCGAGATGGAAGTTTCACTACATCTTTATGGACAGTAGCTGATACAAGAGAGTGCAGCCGCAATAGCAATCGACCTGCAATGAAAATAAACACTAAGGAGTCTTTGGTATGTGGTTTGAGGCAAGAGACTGCCAATTTGTAAGGAAGTATAGGCAGGTCCTTGCCTCACAGCATGTGCGGAAACCCAGATGGTTTAACAATGTAAATGCAACAACGATGAAATTGATTAAAATAAGGCTTAGAACAATATTTCCAAACCCAAAGCTGGGAGCTTTTATAAGCAAAACATATGGAATACAAATAGAACAAAGAAACAACAAGAGCCATGAAGGAAATTATTGGCATATTCTGGTATGTAAAAATTTAATTCTGCATGGTGTAAGGACTAACATGACTGCTGTGTAATGAGTGATGGGCTGATAGAAAGTGCTGGTATCATATTAACAGGTCAGGGGTTAAGGTCACTTTACAAATAAAACCACACCTGTGAGAATGGCTGTTATCCATAAATCAAAAACAAAAATATTGGCCAGGAATTGGAGAAAGGGGAACCCTTGTGCAGTGTTGGTGAGACTGTAAATAGTGTAACAATTATGGGAAGCTGTGGGAGTTTTCTCAAAAGGATAAAAGTAGAACTACTGTATAACTCAGCAATTTCAATATATATCTGAAGACTTATAAAACACAATTTTGAAAAGACACATGCACCCCTATGTGCAGCGTGGCATTACTTACAGTAGCCAAGGTATGGAAGCAACCAAGTGCCCTTCAGTAGATGAACGATGAAGCAGCAGCACATTTGTGTAATGGAATATTACTCAGCCATAAAAAGAGCACAGTCTCGCCATTTGTGACAGCATGCATGGACCTAGAGGGCATTAGGGTAAGTGACATACGTCCATCAGACAATGTGGTATGGTTTCTCTAATATTTGGAATCTGAAAAATAAAATAAATGAACAAACAACACTGAAACAAACTCCTGGATACAGAGAGCATGAATCGATGGTTACCAGATGAGAGAGGGGATTGGGAGGAATGTGTGAAAAAGAAGAAGGGATTAAAAAGCACCAATTCCCAGTTATGAAAATGAGCACAGGAAATAACACACAGCAGAGGGAGTACAGCCACTAACTTTGTAGCAGCTTGTTTAGCACCAAAGAGTCTGACACTTATCAGGGTGGTCACTTTGTAAGTTATATGTCTCAGTAGGTTGAACCCCTGAAACTAGTACAGTGTTATATGTTGGCTATGATTAAAAGTGCATCTAAAACAAGGGAATAGTTTGAGAATGATATGTTGTTTTCTTAGTTTCTCTTGTTTTATTTTGACTAGTGAGTGGCTGCCCAGCCCCAACTCCCACCCACCCTTTTTCTACCTCTTGGTGCCTCATCCCATTTTTTCTCTTTTCTCCCTTTTTAATTGCTCAGATTTAAGTGATTAATATTTTATGATTCTTGGATGATTTCATGCTTCCCCTTAAAAATAGAGCCATTAAATGAATCAAAGCTCACGATTGGCTTCAGAAGACATATTGGGGATTTTCAGGCCTGGTCTCAGGTGGTGACTGTTAGATGACAAACTAGTGAAATAATTAACTCTAGTTTAGGTGGAGCGTACATTTTAATGCTTCTTATTTAGACATTAAGAGTCTTTTGAGACTACAAAGTTGACTTTTTTGTTATTTTGCCTGTCTGACCTATTTTGATAATTGATGAATTTAGCCATAAATGTAAAAGCAACAAATATCTTCCACTTTAGCAAAATTTAGCAAATGCAGCTGAAGGGAAAGAGTCAATAGACTGTTAAGTTGAATGATTTCTCAGTCCTATATTTTCAACAAGGTGATGAAAATGAAAAATGATTTTCTAAAACATTCATAAACATGGCATTCTCTTTTTATCATTCAAGTATTTTAATACATGGGGGACTTAATGTGTCTGAAAAAGTTGTCTTACAAACATTTGAAAATATCCTTATTCAAGTGCTTTTTACACTGTCCTTCTTTTCAAAAGAATGTTTTAAGATAAGCCATTCATTTCCTGTTGGAACCAATGTTCTTTTTAAAGATCTGGACATAATCCAAAAAAGAATGTCTTCAATTTCACAGTATTATGCTAGCCATTAATAATATTACTCAATAAACAGGGCTTTTGTGAATTACATTACAGCCATTTGGCAAACAGACGAAAACGTAAGCCTTGAGAATATGCCAGTTCTCAGTGATCGTCCTTCCTATGAGAAAGTGTTTTTAGCCGAAGTGAAAATGAATGAAGTTGGGGAGGAAGCAGGAGAATGATGACTTCAGGAGCAAGTTCATAGACATAGCCATTCTAGGGAATTTTCTGTATGAAGATTTCTTTAGTTGTGGGTAAAGTTGATGCCACAAACTGGTTTTAAAGTTTTTTGTTAATTTTCAAGAAGAGTTTTCGTCTCTCTCTCTCTCTCTCTCTCTTTCTCTCTCTCTCACTCTGTCAATCTGTGGCTTCTCTTATTCAGGAAATAGTGTGACCCTGTGTCCATGACCCCCCATTGCAACAGTGAGCTCACTCAGGGTACCAATTACTCTTTTTAGAGCAGTATCACTGTTCAGGTTGGTACCATATGTTCCAGCATCCATGGCCTCATATCTGCGTGACCCCATTTATGTTAACTACCTGGCCTTTAGAGACATTTGAGCTTATGAACCAACCTTCAAAAGCAAAACTTACCAATAGAGCAAAACTTACCTGAGTACCTAGAACATAGAGTGAATTATTCTAGGAATACTAAGGCCAACTGTCTGTCTTATAGCCCCAGTGGTAAATCCTATTACTTCCATCAGTCATAAAATTTAAAAACTAACAAATAACCAAAAACATCCATTAAAATTCTATTAGCAAAGACCTCTCTGTTCCTGAGATGGACTTAAAGCCACACATACTTTTTTCTAGTGCTTTCTTTAAGGCCTTGGTGTTGATGTGTGGTGTGTATCATAAATAACAATGGCATGTTTCATTAATAGGGAATATTTTTAGAGTATTTGTTATATTCCTTTCTCAGAAATGACTGAAGCAGTGAATAATTAACTTATTGATTCCATTTTAGGATTAATTTAGAGCAAAACAAATCCCAGAAGACTAGATACTATTTAATAACTTTCAAGCAGGGTTGAACGTTTCAAAGTAGAATTCAGGATTACATGGTATTGTACTTGCACGAATCACTTGATAGGAGTGATTAAATAATTTTATATGATTAGATTAATTTTGGGGGATAACACATCACTGTTTTGTGTACCTGGATTTTAAATTTTATGCAAACTTTATTTTGAGGTAATTGCAAATTAATATCCAGTTGTAAGAAATAATACAAAAGAGATTTCTTGTACCCTTTACCCAATTTAACCCTTGTTAACTTCCTATAAAACTACTTTATAAGTCAACTTTCCTAAAGTGTGATTTGCATAAAATAAAATGCACCCATTTAAAATGTACAGATTGATGAGTTTTGGCAAACGTGTAATCTTGTGTGACCGCCATTCTCACCAAGACATAGAATGTTCCCCTTTCCCCAAACACTCTCACATATTCATTGGCTGTCACCGCTTCCCCTCCACCCTTGGTCCCGGGAAACCACAAATCTGCTTCCCCTCACTATAAATTTTAGAACTATAAATAGTTCTCTCATGATATAAAATTTGAGATCATGGGGTTATTCAATCTGTATTTTTTGGGGTGTATACAGGCTTCCAAATCTCTCCCTTCTACTTCCCTTGCTCTTTCGTTTTTTTACATCATTTCCTAATTAGTTGGGCTAGTAGCTTTATTGAAATACAACACCTCTGGTCCACTTGCTCAGAAAACCCATTGTCACTATCAAGAAGCCTGAGTTAAGTTCATAAACACAGACCGCAAAGAAGAACTGGGGAGGTTGGGTGTGTATTTTCCATGTCAATCAGCATGGCTGTGTAGCTGCACCATAACTGTCTGTTACTGAGTCTTTACTCTACCTGGTCAAAGACTTCAAGTGTTGATAGACTCTAGCTTTAAGGAAATGGTCATCCATTGAAACTGGCCTCCTTAGGATTTTTCATTTTTCTTTAAGAGCTATCTTCCTCTTCCAGGGGCTCTAAGCCAGGAGTGATGCAATGATCCATACCTCTGCCAAGCACACACACTTTGTTGGCTACTTAGCTATTCTTTCATCATTTGGTGACATCATTACCTGCAAGGGTGGCCAAGTGTTCACAGAGCCATTTATTAGTAACCACGAAGACTTCTCTTATTCTTTGGCTCTGATTTGTGACCCTTTTATAACATTCATCATGGCTTTTATGAATTAACTACAATAGAACTATCAGTATGCATTTTTGTTAGTATTATGAATAGCCGAGCCAGCTTAAAACATTTTATATAATAAGCCTTCCTACCATTCAGTAATTGGATGGGGGAACACCACACTCTACATTGATTATTATGTAAATGAATA